ATTGTCGGTGTCACTCCTCTGTGTGGTGATTGGATCCGGTCACGCAGCTTCACAATTGTAGATGTTTATTGTCATTTCTGTGCAGGAAAATGTCACATTTCATCATTACTGTCAGCCATGTGCACTGCATTCTGGGACATGATTCATGGTGAGGACGCCGCCATCGACATACATGTCGCCTGTCCTCCTCCGTGTCTATAGGTGCAGCTGCGAGTTGTCCAGAATGTGTAACCTGCCCACCGCACATGTCCCCCTAATATGGAGGTTCCCCCTAATATGGCGTTCCCCCTAATATGGCGTTCCCCCTAATATGGCGTTCCCCCTAATATGGCGTTCCCCCCTAATATGGCGTTCCCCCTATGTGTGTACCATCCTCCACTCTGGGAAGGCTTCCACAAGACTTTGGAGGGTGTCAGTGGGAATGTTGGACCATTTTGTGAGGTCAGGTACTGATGATGGATGAGAAGACCCGGGCTCACAGTCAGCGTTCAGTAGGGATGAGGTCGGGGCTCTGAGCAGGATACTCGAGTTCCTCCACCACACTGGTCACACCGTGTCTGTATAGATTCACTTAATCCCCAACTTCTCTGACTGGCCTCCTAACTGTCTCCCATCTCCTTCCTCTGATTGGGTCCTTCACCATCCTCATCTCTCCGTACCCAATATGGAGTACCCCCATGGCCATTTGTATGGAGTTTTCCCCTTTGTTGATGTAACATCCTCCACTGTATCTTTCCACAAGATTTCAGAGGGAATGTGTCCCATTGGTGAGGTCAGGTCCTGTGGTTGGGTGAGAAGTCCGGGCTCACAGTCAGCGTTCCAATTCATCCCAAAGGTGGTCAGTAGGGATGAGGTCGGGGCTCCGTGCAGGACACTCGGGTTCCTCCACCAAGCTGGTCACACCGTGTCTGTATGGAGCCCTCCCTCCCCCCATGTCTGTATGGAGCTGGCTTTGTACACGGGGGACAGTCGTGGGGGGGACAGAAAAGGGTCTTCACCAAACTGTGACCACAAGGCTGGAAGATCCCCATTATCTACAATGTCTTTGTATGATGGAGGACCCTTCACTGGAGACACCTGAACTCCATCACTGGAGACACCTGAACCCCGTAATTGGAGGAGGGGGGTTCACATACTTTTGGCCATACAGTGTTTATTTTATTTGTAGTGAGTACACATTATTTGGGTATTGTTTTTATGGGCAGCACAGTGGCTTAGTAGTTATCACTTCTTGCAGCATTTGGGGTCCCTGGTTCGAATCTTGGTCTTGCATGGAGTTTGCATGTTCTCCCCGTGCTGTGCGGGTTTCCTCCCACACTCCAAAGACACGCTGGAAGGTTAATTGGCTCCGTTCTGAATTGGCCCTCGTATGTAATGTATGTATGTATGTATGTATGTATGTATGTATGTATGTATGCATGTATGTATGTATGTGGTATGGGGACCTTAGGGCGGGGACTGATGTGAATGTGCTCTATGTACAGCGCTGTGGAAACTGTCGGCGTTGTATACATATCTATAATAATAATAATGATTCTTCCTCCAGTGTTCATCCTCCATGCAGACGGCGTGCTGAGATAGTCGGGTATCCTGTCACAGAGCACGGGGTGATAGTTGTTGTAGAATGGTGATTGGGGGCCCCTGTTGAGGGCCCGTTGGCTGCAGGCGGATGTCCAGCGCTGTGAAATGCGTTAGCAGTACATTGGCGCGGAGTTCTTGTTTTCCTCTGGAAGCGGTGTGTAGTCTCTGCGTCCCGGATGATCGCTCTCCGATCCCCTCTTAGCGTGTTCATCCGGTTTTAGGACGGTGATGCCGGGGACCTCTGGACACGCCGAGGAGCTCGTTAGGGGCCGCTGGATGCAGGTTGGGCTGACGTGATGTGCGCAGCTGCTGCACTGACTGCGTGCGTTGTCAGCACTGGAGGAGAGAGAGTTCTGCCAGCGGCTTGGCCGGCACAGAGTGTCCCCGAGCCAAACCGGGATTCTTCTGTCCTTCCAGATTCCCCGCTTATTAACCCCGTCACTTCTGGAGAGACTCAATGTCGCCGATCCTGGTCCGTGTGGGGGACGACGACCCCAAAATGATTCCTTCTGATAATCCAACCACAGATATCACCAAGCGCGTCCCATGTTCAGCCCATAAAGTGCCGACATTACTAATAATTGGTAGTAGTGTGGTGGTAGTATAGTAGTGGTTGTAGTATGCTCATAGTGGTATGCTCGTTGTAGTGTGGTGGTAGTAGTGGTGTGATGGTAGTATGGTAGTGGTGGTGGTAGTAGTACAGTAGTATAGTAGTGGTTGTAGTATGCTCATAGTGGTATGCCCGTTGTAGTACAGTAGTAGTGTGGTGGTATGCTCGTGGTGGTGGTATGCTCGTGGTGGTGGTAGTAGTAGTACTGGTGGTGGTAGTAGTAGTACTAGTGGTGGTGGTAGTACTAGTGGTATGCTCATAGTGGTGGTAGTAGTAGTACTAGTGGTGGTAGTAGTAGAGTGGTGGTGGTAGTACTAGTGGTATGCTCGTGGTGGTAGTAGTAGTACTAGTGGTGGTAGTAGTAGAGTGGTGGTGGTAGTACTAGTGGTATGCTCGTGGTGGTAGTAGTAGTACTAGTGGTGGTAGTAGTAGAGTGGTGGTGGTAGTACTAGTGGTATGCTCGTGGTGGTAGTAGTAGTACTAGTGGTGGTAGTAGTAGAGTGGTGGTGGTAGTACTAGTGGTATGCTCGTGGTGGTAGTAGTAGTACTAGTGGTGGTAGTAGTAGAGTGGTGGTGGTAGTACTAGTGGTATGCTCGTGGTGGTAGTAGTAGTACTAGTGGTGGTAGTAGTAGAGTGGTGGTGGTAGTACTAGTGGTATGCTCGTGGTGGTAGTAGTAGTACTAGTGGTGGTAGTAGTAGAGTGGTGGTGGTAGTACTAGTGGTATGCTAGTAATAATACTATTGATGGTCATTTTATATTTACACCTCTGGGCTTCACTTACATGTTCTGAATGAGAACTGACTTCTGTAAATGAGAAGAATGGAAATGTGAAGATGATGGGAGTAGTTGGCTTTTATGGGGGGTTATAAATGATGATCAGAAGTGATTATTGGAGGTCGGTATAGTGGGATGCAGTCAGGATGTGGTGTGTGGGCCCCTTACAGGGGCCCCACCTGGGCAGCCACAATAGAAAGGAGACGGCTCGCAGATCTCTAGGTAATAATAATGAACGCAGTCAGAGCTCACAGACATGGATGTGGAAGCAGCACAACGCCCGGAGCCGGCACACGGTGGCCATTGGTGGAGTTATAGGCGGATCTTCCACGTATCGGGGTGACTTCTTAAAGGGGCCCTCCGGAGTCGGGCTGGTCACACGTCATCTGTTCGCTGAATCCGCCAATATTCCATCCATGGTTGTCCCGGCCGCACCTCCCGGCTCGCCAAGTCGATATTTAATTGGACATTGGTGGAGGGGCGGAGTCAGCGGAACAATGAGCGCAGCCAATCGTCTTCAGTCTCTGTCCGCTGTTCTGACGGCTGCGGCCAACAGCGGGAGAGCCCCCCATCCGCGCTCTGTAGTCTGGTTGGGGAATGTTCAGCCTGAAGACGCGGATCATCTTGTGGTGTGTGTGGCCGGCGGAAGATCCGCGTCATGGCTCCGTCACTGGCTGCGGCGGCATCTCTGTGGTGTTGGCTTGCGATGTACGGCCTCCACGTTGTTACTTTGTGTTCATTATTATGAAATGTATACAATGTGTCTACTGCCTGGAAATGCTGCTTGCCTGGCTTCACCACCATGTGTGGGTGGAATGTATTAGATCCGGAGTAGCAGGTTGCAGCGCAGCCGTTGGATGACGTGCGATTTGTCTGCTAGACGTCCTCTGTGCGTTGTGGATCTTTGGACGCGCGCTGCGCACTCTGTACGTTTCCTGTGCGTTGTGGATCTTTGGACGCGCGCTGCGCACTCTGTACGTTTCCTGTGCGTTGTGGATCTTTGGACGCGCGCTGCGCACTCTGTACGTTTCCTGTGCGTTGTGGATCTTTGGACGCGCGCTGCGCACTCTGTACGTTTCCTGTGCGTTGTGGATCTTTGGACGCGCGCTGCGCACTCTGTACGTTTCCTGTGCGTTGTGGATCTTTGGACGCGCGCTGCGCACTCTGTACGTTTCCTGTGCGTTGTGGATCTTTGGACGCGCGCTGCGCACTCTGTACGTTTCCTGTGCGTTGTGGATCTTTGGACGCGCGCTGCGCACTCTGTACGTTTCCTGTGCGTTGTGGATCTTTGGACGCGCGCTGCGCACTCTGTACGTTTCCTGTGCGTTGTGGATCTTTGGACGCGCGCTGCGCACTCTGTACGTTTCCTGTGCGTTGTGGATCTTTGGACGCGCGCTGCGCACTCTGTACGTTTCCTGTGCGTTGTGGATCTTTGGACGCGCGCTGCGCACTCTGTACGTTTCCTGTGCGTTGTGGATCTTTGGACGCGCGCTGCGCACTCTGTACGTTTCCTGTGCGTTGTGGATCTTTGGACGCGCGCTGCGCACTCTGTACGTTTCCTGTGCGTTGTGGATCTTTGGACGCGCGCTGCGCACTCTGTACGTTTCCTGTGCGTTGTGGATCTTTGGACGCGCGCTGCGCACTCTGTACGTTTCCTGTGCGTTGTGGATCTTTGGACGCGCGCTGCGCACTCTGTACGTTTCCTGTGCGTTGTGGATCTTTGGACGCGCGCTGCGCACTCTGTACGTTTCCTGTGCGTTGTGGATCTTTGGACGCGCGCTGCGCACTCTGTACGTTTCCTGTGCGTTGTGGATCTTTGGACGCGCGCTGCGCACTCTGTACGTTTCCTGTGCGTTGTGGATCTTTGGACGCGCGCTGCGCACTCTGTACGTTTCCTGTGCGAGGCTCTGTGCTGCCACCTGCTGTTTGCTCGGATTGTTCACTCAGGAAACCGGTTTTCTATATACAGGACGTGTGAACGGGGAAAGCCGTACTGGTTGCCGTTGCTGATCTGTCTGGAAATGCCGCTTGCCTGGCTTCACCATGTTCAATGACTGATGCACAATAAGAACGCTCTTCAGCAGTTCTGACTTCACTTGCAGCTTGCTGATTCCAGGTTGACCCAGTTATTGAAGCCGGAGACCCCCCTTGTATCTGTGTATTATGTGATGACATATGTGCATGGAGGGAGCCGCATTGGCCTGTTACCTTTGCAGGCTGTACAGTGATTGCACTTCACTGCTCCTCACTCTCAGTGCTCGGGCCTAGCTGCGCGCTCCCAGTGGTTGTGAAATTATCTTGGCCGTTCTTCAGTATTTGCAACCCCTGCTGCGTGCTGTGGTTCTGCCCCCTGGGCCCTGCTGCGTGCTGTGGTTCTGCCCCCTGGGCCCTGCTGCGTGCTGTGGTTCTGCCCCCTGGGCCCTGCTGCGTGCTGTGGTTCTGCCCCCTGGGCCCTGCTGCGTGCTGTGGTTCTGCCCCCTGGGCCCTGCTGCGTGCTGTGGTTCTGCCCCTGGGAGGGGAGGATTTCCCTGCTGTGTCACCTGTAACAAGCCGATCTGAATGGAGAAAAAGCTGTCGGGTTCAGACTTGAAGCTGACGACTTTTTCCTCCATAATACTAGGTGAGGCTCCGCCTCCCCTGACCGACGTCCCAGATCTCTGAGGGCCCGGGGCCCCGTGTAGATGGGTTTTTTTGCAAGATTTTGAACACCAATTCCCTGAGGTAGTGTGGCAGATTGGGTGTGTAGAAGGGTCACGGAGCCGTATAGAGACTGCACACATCTATTCCAGTCCATCGGGCCCCCCTAGATGACGGTGCCGGGACTCCGGAATATTCCTAAGAGGACTCCGTGTGGCCACGGTGGGGGGTGGGGAGGCCGACGTCCCTGAGCCAAACAATCCCTCATCCACCTCCTGCAGTTACAGGCATTGCGGAGAAATTCATCTTCAGTCCTAGGAAATGAGCTCTATGGTGCCGCCTGTCGGTGGTAATGACACAGCCGTATATCCTGCCAGGAGGTCTGTCGTCATCCACTTCCTGTAACAAGCCGAGGGGTCAGAAAAACGTGCCGGTCACCGTTGTGAGACGTCTTAGCTTTGGCAGCTTGTCAATCATCCCGCAGTAATCGCGGACCGCAGCAGATTGCATGACAGCACAGCCGCCTGTAGTTCACACTGAAGGGTGACCACGCTTCCGACGCATTGAGGGCTGGTGGAAGGTGTTGTCACCCTATTATAGGATGGCCTCAGAGCAGGAAGTGAGGGGATTGGACGGTATTTACTAAAACTTTAATTGCTACAATATTACAAAAATCTTCCCACAACCAATCACAGGGCAGCAGGATATTTCCTCCTCTTCAGCGTTCGGGTTTTCATGACCTTACCAGTCATGTGACCTCCCCCCTGTGCACAGGAAATGGACATTGTTCAGTCACACGGGGAGCTTCGTATGATTTATGGAAGGTGGAGGAGTGCGTTATCCTTTATCACCAACACAACTCCCTTCCTCATCAGCTTGTGTGGTGTATAGAGCGGGGCGGGCAGACTGCGACGCTCCAGCTGCTGTGGAACTACAAGTCCCATGAGGCATTGCAAGAGACGGATGCATTAT